CACCAAGACGGTTCCACCAAGACGGTTCCACCAAGACGGCACCACCAAGACTGCCGAATAACCGCCGACCCGCGCCGAATGCTCTTGGGTCACGAGGCGTAATCCGCGGGCCTCCTGTCGGGCCCCCAGGCGCATGAGGTATGATATATTTAGCGGGTGACTATTTTTGTCATCGCCTCATTTCTTTTTTGTGTCATTGTATAAGATAGTTGTTTGATGCACGGCCGGCACAAGGCTTAAGAACTTCGGTGGTTCGGGGAGGGTACCCTTATGTTCTTCGTTTTTGTTCCATGTTCTTGTGCACCCTGGGGAAGGGTATCCTCGATGTTCTTCAGTTTGGCGCCATTATTCCTTCGTTCTGACAAAGCTGGGGTTCGGGGCTCACGATTCGGCTACGAGCGTCCGCGGCGGGGGCGGGACCCTCCATGTTCTTCGGTCCCGAAGTCACGGTGCGGCCTTCAGCAACCGCGTGCCCCTTCATGATGGTGGTGCGATTGCAATCACCCTCGCATGATCTTAGGGGACTGTTTGGCGTTGGTGGGCTACGGGCTGCGGGGCTTAGGGCGTGCGGATGCAGGCTTGATTGAGGCTACGTACGCACGTAGGCCGCAGGGCTCGCGCGTCCGCGGCACGGGCAGGACCCTCCATGTTCTTCGGTTTCGATGTCAAGGTGCGGCCTCCAGCAACCGCGTGCCCCTTGATGATGGCGGCGTGAGTGCAATCACCCTCGCATGTTCTTAGGGGAGAACTTGGCGCTAGTGGGCTTCAGGTTTCGGAGAGTAGGGTGCGCGGCTGCAGGCGCGAGGCTAGGGCGGGCGGGCGAAGCCACGCGCAGCTTCCTGGGCTGCGGCAGGGCTGAGAGGTTGGATGTGCGGATGACGTTCAGGACGTAGCGCTGATGTCGGTCCTATGCTAAGGCCCATGGGGTAGGCCGCAGGGCTCGCGCAACCGCGGCGCGGGCAGGACCCTCCATGCTCTTCGGTCTCGATGTCAAGGTGCGGCCATCCGCAACCGCGCCCCCCTGGATGATGGTGGCGCGAAAGGAATCGCCCTCGCATGTTCCTAGGAGAGAGTTTGGCGGTTGTTGGGCATCAGAGCGGGGTATGTGCGCGCGTGCGTGCGTGCGTGTGCGCGTGTGTGCGTGCGTCCTACCGAGGGCCACGCAAAACTTGACATGCGCGTCTGCGCTGCCGAAAGTGAGTTAAGAGGCCCGCGTTGTCAGCAATAGGAGAGTCGCCATGTTGGCTTGGAAAATCAAAGTGAACCTTCAGCGTCGCCAGTCAGATTTCCAAGTTAGCATGCACCAAAACCCATGTTAACTTGGAAATCAAACTGCCCACTTCCAAGGGCTCCCTTTGAATTCCCCAGTCAACGCGGCAACTGTCCTATTGCTGGCGCTGCGGCGTTTCTCGCGCACGCGCGCCGCCGCGCGCGCGGCGGCGCAGGAACGCGCGAGAAGTTTTGCGCGCGCTGTTGCAGAAGACATGCACCAGCAACCCATGTTAACTTGGAAATCCAAGTGGCAACCGCTAAGGGGTCACTTTGATTGTCCAGGCCAACATGGCGACTCTTCGATTGCCGATAACGCGAAGCCCCGCACGCGCACACGCCGCCGCGCGCGCGGCGGCGCAGGCGCGCGCGAGGAGTGTTTGTCTGCGCTGGTGTAGAACACGTGCACCAAAACCCATGTTAACTTCGAAATCCAATCGGCAACCACTAAGAGTTCACTTTGATTTCCCAGGCCAACATGGCAACTTTTCTATTGCTGATAACGCGGGGCGCCCCACGCGCACGCGCCGCCGCGCGCGCGGCGGCGCGGGCGCGCGCGATGGGTTGTTGTATACGCCGTTGCAAGACACGTACACCAGAACCCATGTTGACTTGGAAATCCAATCGGCAGCCGCTAGTGGTCCACTTCGATTCTCCAGGCCAACATGGCGCTTCTTCTACTGCTGATAACACTGAGCGCCCCACGCCCCTGCGCCGCCGCGCGAGAAGCGTTTGCATGCGCCGCTGCAGAACACATGCACCAAAACCCATGTTAACTTGGAAATCAAACTGCTCACTTCCAAGGGCTCCCTTTGAATTCCCCAGTCAACGCGGCAACTGTCCTATTGCTGGCGCTGCGGCGTTTCTCGCGCACGCGCGCCGCCGCGCGCGCGGCGGCGCAGGAACGCGCGAGAAGTTTTGCGCGCGCTGTTGCAGAATACATGCACCAGCAACCATGTTAACTTGGAAACCCAAGTGGCAACCGCTAAGGGTTCACTTTGATTTTCCAGGCCAACATGGCGACTCTTCTATTGCCGATAACGCGAAGCTCCGCACGCGCACACGCCGCCGTGCGCGCGGCGGCGCAGGCGCGCGCGAGGAGTGTTTGTCTGCGCTGGTGTAGAACACGTGCCAAAACCATGTTAACGAAATCCATTCGGCAACCACTAAGGGTCACTTTGATTCATAGCCAACAGGCAACTTTTTCTATGCTGATAAGCGGGGGCCACGCGCACGCGCCGCGCGCGCGCGGCGGCGCGGGCGCGCTCGAGGGTTGTCGAGATAACCGACGCACAGTGAGTGCGCCAGAACCATGTTGACTTGGAAATCAATCGGCAAACGCTCGTGGTCCACTTGATTTCTCATGGGCAAACATGGCGCTTCTTCTAGAAGACCGAAGGGACACTCGAGGCGCCCCACGCGCAGGCGCGCACGCGCGCGCGGCGGCGCGCCGCGCGCGCGCGCGGCGCAGGCGCGCGCGAAAAGTGGTTTTGCATGCGCCCTGTGCTGAAACATGCGCAGAGCCATGTGTTCTGCAGAGGCGCAGCAACGGCTTCTCGGCGCGGCGGCGCAGGGGCGTGGGGCGCCCAGTGTTATCAGCAGTAGAAGAAGCGCCATGTTGGCCTGGAGAATCAAAGTGGACCACTAGCGGTTGCCGAGTGGATTTCCAAGTCAACATGGGTTTTGGTGTACGTGTCTTGCAACGGCGTATACAACAAACCCTCGCGCGCGCCCGCGTTATCAGCAACAGAAAAGTTGCCATGTTGGCCTGGGAAATCAAAGTGAACCCTTAGTGGTTGCCGATTGGATTTCGAAGTTCACATGGGTTTTGGTGCATGTGTTCTACAACAGCGCAGACAAACACTCCTCGCGCGCGCCTGCGCCGCCGCGCGCGCGGCGGCGTGTGCGCGTGCGGAGCTTCGCGTTATCGACATTAGAAGAGTCGCCATGTTGGCCTGGAACACATGCACCAAAAGCCATGAGTTGCGCCGCTGCAAAACCCAGAGTTGTTGGGGGCGCCGCGGGGTTGGGGCGAGAGCTCGCGCGCGTGCATGAGTGCCAGGGCGTGAGACGTGGCGCTGAGGCCCGCTGCTAGAGCCCTAAGCTGGCCGCAGGCCTCGCGCGTCCGCGGCGTGGGCAGGACCCTCCATGTTCTTCGGTCTCGGTGTCATTGTGTCGCCTCCAGCAGCCGCGCGCTCGTGGATGACGGCGGCGCGGAGACGCACACCCTCGCATGTTCTTGTTTTGGGGCAGCAGCAGCCTGGAGCTGGGCCTAGGGTGGCGGGGGCCAGGCCGCGCGGCCGCGGCCTTGAGTCTGGGGCGAGCAGGCGAGGTCGCGCGAGGCTCCCTGGGGCGCCGCGGGGTTGGGGCGAGAGCTCGCGCGCGTGCATGAGTGCCAGGGCGTGAGTCGTGGCGCTGAGGCCCACTGCTAGAGCCCGACTAAGCTGGTCGCAGGCCTCGCGCGTCCGCGGCGCGGGCAAGACCCTCCATGTTCTTCGGTCTCGATGTCAACGTGCTGCCTCCAGCAACCGCGCGCTCGTGGATGGCGACGGACGCGCGGAGGCAGATCCAGGGCACAGGAACACAGCGTGGGTCTCGGGGGGCGGGGGGGGGTCAGGGCTTCGGGGTTGCGTGGTCCAGGCTGTGCAGTCGAAGGCTTTAGGCTGGGGGCTGAACCAGATGCGTACTTACGCACGTTGGCTCGGAAGTGAAGGTCGGGGACACATCGGAAGGGCGTCCTCGACGTCCTTATGGTTTGGGGTACTTTGGCCCGCGGAGGATCTCATGTTCGTGTCCGATGTTATTGTGGCCTTGTTCTGGCCGTAGCGGACGTGTGATGTTATAGTGTGTGGCTGTGATGTTTTGTATGTTACGCATGTTGTATCTATACTACATTATGATATGACGTTATATGATGTGATATTGTGTTTTGTGGTGTTTTCGCGAGCGCCCAGGATGGCACACTCTTGTTTCACCAGGTTGTTTTCGCGAACGCCCACGGTTGCACGTTACTGTTTCAGCAGGTCGTTTTTGTGAACGCTCAGGGTGGCACATTTCTCTTTATTCGAGATCGTGGCAAGCGTTATGTGATGTTATGTTATGGCATATGATGTCGGATGTTGGCGAATGATGTTATGCATGGTATGTTATGTCCTGGTTTGATATGTTATGCTGTGATATGTTATGCTACGTTATGTTAAGTTATGTCAGGACGTATGAATTTGATGTCGTGATGGCGACGGGGATGTTGGGTAGTGAATGTGGTTCATGGGCTGCTGCGCGAGGAGGGAGGATAGGGAGGAGGGGGAAGCTTTTGAAGGAGTCGGGACCTGAAGACCTGCGACTAAGCTTCGGCCAGAATAGCCCAGCAATAGCCCAATAGCCCAGTAGCCCTATAGCCCTATAGCCCTATAGCCCTATAGCCCTATAGCCCTGTAGCCCTATAGCCTTGTATCCCTATACCCCCTAATAGCCTTATATCCCTATAGCCCTACAGCCTTATAGCCCATATAGCTCTATAGCCCCATAGCCCTATAGCCCTATGGCCCTATAGGTCACAGTCCTATAGCCCTATAGCCCTATAGCCCGAAAGCCCTATAGCCCGATAGCCCTATAGCCCTATCGCCCGATAGCCCTATAGCCCTATAAGGGAGCAATTGGAAGATCAACAAAAATATGTTTGGGGCTTTTCTCCGGTATCATTTATTTCATACCGTTCTTCGCCCGGTGATGGAAGGACAGCGGTGGGGCGGGGTGGGGAGGGTGAGGGGGGGGGACGGGAGTTGATGTACGCAGAAGGCAGCTGTGCACCACGACCGTCCCTGGCCAGGGCCATCCCAGGGCCCCCAGTGGGAGCCCAAGACCTCACGGTCTCGGCCACGAGGCCTCTCACTGGCGGCCATCGTGGGGCCCAGGATGGCCCTGGCCAGGGAGGGTGGTGCACAACCGCCCTCTGCAGGGGGAATTGGAGGGACAGCGTCAGCAGAGTGATGGGGACAGAGCGGGGTGGTGTAAGGCTCTCTTGGTATCTCCCTGTCGCCCACGACTGCGCCCGCTGGATCCAGAGGCGAGACGGTGGTGCCGGCACCGCGCGATCACTTCAGCGGGATGAAGCTCATCTTGCCCCCCATGCCAGCGCGGCCGTGCTTCGTGGGCTTGTACGTGATGGAGAACTCCCCCAGGTAGTGGCCAATCGCCTCCGGCTTGACCTCCACGTTGATGTACTGCTTGCCGTTGTAGACGCCCACCACACTCCCGATCATCTCGGGCACGATCACCATGTTGCGCAGGTGGGTCTTGACGGCCTCTGGCTTCTCGCCGTAGGCAGTCTCGCGCTTCGCCTTCCGCAGCTTCTTGAGGAGGGCGATGGGCTTCCGCTTGATGCCTCGGCTGAACTTGCGGCGCTGGCGGGCGCGGAAGAGCTCCATGAGTTCCTGGTTGCTGAGGTCCAAAAGCTTGTCGAGGTCAATGCCACGGAAAGAGTATTTCTTGAAGGTGCGCTTCTTCTTTTGATCATCGTCACCCATTTCGGCTCTGTGTCGAGCTCCGCGGGGAAGCACTACAGGTTGGAGACAATCTGGTGCCTGAGCCGCTTGGGCCAAAATGGCTACGGAAATGTGGGCATGAAATTGTCACTCAAAGGATTCGGTAAGTAATAGTGGCGGGGCAGGTATTGTGTGAGCCAGGAGGAACAATGGGGAATCCCACCAGCCCTTTGGGCGTGAGTGGTTTAGAGAGCTCTCTCTGTCCTCAACCCCCAAACCCCCCTTCTTCCCCTTCGGGGAGGGGTTTACCCCTCCCCCTACCCCCTCCCCCTGGGCCTGGACAGGGAGCCCCGAGTGTTCTCAGGGGGGTCTTTTTCGACTCCTGGGAGGGCCAAAAAACGACGACCCTCACGAGGATTCTGGCCCCGACGGGGGGGCTCTGAAAAAACCCTCTCCTCTTCTGTGAAGCCAAAATCATTGATTTTACTACGGTTTCGGCCCCGTTTTGGCCTTCTGAGGGGGCAGCGCTCCTCTTCCTTCTTCTCAAAATCATTGATTTTACGAAGGTTTTGGGCTCATTTTGTCCTTCGCAGGGGCTCGCGCTCATTTGCGCTTCTGCGGAGGTCGCAAGAACCCCCAAGAGGCCCCAAGATGCCTCCCAGAGGCTCCCAAGAGGCGTCCAAGAGGCTCCCAAGAGGCCTCCAAGAGGCCCCCAAGAGGCCCCCAAGAGGCCCCAAGAGGCCCCCTAGAGGCCCCCAAGAGGCCCCACGAGGAGCCCGAACGACTCACACCAGGACGAGGGGCCCGAACGACTCACACCACGAAGAGCCCGAACGACTCACACCACAAGGAGGGGCCCGAACGACTCATACCAGGACGAGGCGCCCGACCGACTCACACCACGAGGAGCCCAAAGACTCACACCACGACGCGGGCCTCGAACGACTCACACCACGAGGAGCCCGAACGACTCACACCACGACGAAGGCCCCGAACGACTCACACCACGAGGAGCCCGACGAACACCACGAGGACCCAAACGACTCACACCACGACGCGGGCCTCGAACGACTCACACCACGAGGAGCCCGAACGAGTCACACCAGAAAGAGGGGCCCGAACGACTCACACCAGGACGAGGCGCCCGAACGACTCACACCACGAGGAGCCCGAACGACTCACACCACGACGAAGGCCCCGAACGACTCACACCACGAGGAGCCCGAACGAGTCACACCAGGAGGAGGGGCCCGAACGACTCACACCAGGCCGAGGGGCCCGAACAACTCACACCACGAGAAGCCCGAACGACTCACACCAGGACGAAGAGCCCGAACGACTCACACCACGAAGAGCCCGAACGACTCACACCAGAAAGAAGGGCCCGAACGACTCAGACCAGGACGAGAAACCCCAAACGACTCAAACCACGAGGAGCGCTTTCTCTCCCTCCTCATTTGCCCCGTCCTTCTCCCGCTCCCCCCACAAGGAGGATGTACAAGGAGGGGGGAGGAAGGAGGAACAGGGGAGATATGCGGGGCCAAGCGGACACACGCCTGAAAAACACGACTGTCGGCATGCTTCGCGAGAGTTGCTGCTGTGAGATGGGCTGGTGGGGATACGCGAAGCGTAAAGAATTTATGCCGTAGAAGTTGTTTTAGAAAGAAGCCCGCTTGAATATTACTGGGAATCGGCTTATGAATACCACTAAAACTAATATTGCGGTTGAAAATAGTACGAATACTCGTGGTAGTAGTAGAAGCAGTAATAGACGAAGTAGTAGTAGAAACAATAGTACTAGTACGACCACCACTACTACTACTACTACTACTACTACTACTACTACTACTACTACTACTACTACTACTACTACGACTACTACTACTACTACTACTACTACGACGCCGACGACGACGACGACAACGACGACTACTATTACTGCGACGACTACTACTACTGCTGCTACTACTACTATTACTACTAGTACTACGACTACGACTACGACTACTACTACTACTACTACTACTAGTACTACGACTACGACTACGACTACTACTACTACTACTACTACTACTACTACTACTACTACTACTACTACTACTACTACTACTACTACTACTACTACTACGACTACTACTACGAACTACTACTACTACTACTACTACTACTACTACTACTACTACTACTACTACTACTACTACTACTACTACTACTACTACTACTACTACTACTACGACGCGACTTACTACTACGACTACGACTACGACTAACGACTACGACTATACGACTACGACTACGATACGACACGACTACTACTACTATGACTACGACTACGACTACGACTACGACTTTGACTACTACTACTACTACTACTACTACTACTACTACTACTACTACTACTACTACTACTTACTACGACTACTACTACTACTACTACTACTACTACTACTACTACTACTACTACTACTACTACTACTACTACTACTACTACTACACTACTACTACTACTACTACTACTACTACTACTACTACTACTACTACTACTACTACTACTACTACTACTACTACTACTACTACTACTACTGCTACTACTGGCGGTCTCGTGCACCACATCACCACGGCTCAACCACCTAGGGAAGAGCGCCCTTGTGGCTGCCTCATTGCAAGTATGTAATGGGCACCTCTTCTGTGTGAAAGGGCGGGTCTGACGCGCTTGCAGCGTCAGGCGATTGTCCGAGGGCAGCTGGCCCCAACGGCCCAAAGTGAAGCGCCAGCGGCGGTGCAGCAGCATACGGGGCGACCCCGGCACCGCCATCCATGCCAACTAGCGCGAGAAGACGCGAGAAGAGGCCAGGACGGCAAGCCAAGGGCGGGTCTGACGTGCACGCAGCGGCAGGCGCCTGGCCGAGGGCAGCTGGCCCCTACAGCCCAAAGTGAGGCGCTGGCGGCGGCGTCGCGGCACACGGGGCGACCCCGGTACCGCCATCAAGGCCTACTAGCGCAAGAAGGCGCGAGAGGAGGCCAGGATGGCAGGCCAAAATGGCCAGGCGCCAGACGGCGACGCGGCAGTGCACGGGGCTGCCCCAGCACCGCCAGCGAGGCCCACGAGCGCAAGTGAGCGTGAGAGGAGGCCAAGATGGCAAGCCAGCGCCGAGCAGAGGCAAAAGCCACAGGTGCAGCCACGCGAGGGGGGCGCCACTGTGGGCACGCCGCACTACTGAAAGTGACAAGCAAGACATCTTGGCATGAACTCACGTGGCCTGTCGGGGGCCTGGTACCTGCTGGGCTTCATCATTCAGGCAGGCTGGCCTGCTCCCTGCGGAATGGCCGCAAAGACCTGCGACGGCAGCGCCTGCGCTTCCCCACCGAGGTCGCCACTGCCGCCCGCCTGCCCTGAGGGCCCAAAGATCTGACGCTCGAGGTCTTCACCGAGGGCCACGTCCAGGGCTGCAGCATTTGGGATCTGCTGCGGGAGCGGGTCCGTCTGCGGCGGCGGGTCCGTCGGCGGCGGCGGCGCCGCTGGGGGAGCCGTCAGCGGCGGCGGCGGAGGGGCCATGATGGCCGCGGCCGCTGGCGGGACTCCGTCAGGCGGTGGTGGCGGGTCCTGGCTGTCGCGGGCCCCACCCGCTGGGGGGGCACTGGCGGCGCGGACGGGGGCGGCACGCGGGGCGACCCCTGTGCCACCCCCGCCGCCCGAGAGGCTGCCCTCCCGCAGGTTGCAGCGGCGCTCGTAGAGCGCCAGCCCCCTGCGCGCCATCTCCAGGCGCCCCCCATTGGCCTTGTTCCGCGCCTTCTTGCTGTAGCCCGCCCACTCTGGGTCGTTCAGTCCCCAGGCGACCTGCGCGTAGAGGTCGGACCACTTGAACTCGGTCAGGCTTTCCCCGGTGAGCCCCTCCATCAGCACATAGTGGCCCTCCCACTGCGGCTGGCATGGAGCGTAGCGCTTGAAGACGGCGCCCACCGCCAGCGGCTCGACCTTGGGCAGGTTCTTCAGGAGGTCCACCGCGCTGACCACTGATATCCCCTCCTTCTGGAGCTTGTCGTAGCGCAGCAGGGCCTTCAAGTCACGGATGTCATCCTCGGGGTGCTCCGCGTGCATGTAGTACGCGCGTGGCGGGTCCGACTCTTCCTCTATGAACTCGATGCAGACTCCGTAGGAGGTCGAGTAGCGCGCACCGCAGTGGCAGTGCCAGCGCTGGCCCGTCTCCCCCGCCGCCTCCTGCGCGCATGAGAGCAGCTGTGACCAGCGAGTTGATCGGATCACCGAGCAGCATCCCCTGGGATTGTCCCAAGTCTTGTCGGCCGCACACTTGTAGCACATGTTGAACGTGAAGCCCTTGCCACGGTAGAACTGGTCCGTGTAGTCGCCCATGCGGCGGTAGGCCTCCTGCGCCGCGGTGTTGCCCTGGCACTCCTCCCTCCAGGCACGTTTGTGTCCCGCGTGGGCGTGTGCGATCCCCGAGGCTTCCAGGACGCCCTTCTTCAGCCTTCCCACATCCTCCTCTGCCTCCTTGTTAAGCGCGTCGAGCAACTTCTGGACTCCGCCCTGCGCCTCCGCGCACCTCACCATATCCTCCTTCTTCTCCGGGATGGGCCCCAAGCCCCCCAGCATGTGGGCGCGCATGGTCTCGAGTTTAAGGACGCCGCAGGCCCGCGCCATGCGCTTCAGCGATTTCTTGGAGAGGCCGAGCCGCAGCAGGGGCTCGATGTCCGCGACCTCCTCCACGGTCTTGACGTCGGTCAGCTGGTGCTCCTGGTCCGCAACATCGATGTCGGGCTGGGGGTCGTTCTCTTCGTCACTGGGAGGTTCTTCCTCGAGGGGCGAGGGTGGCGCACGGGGCGGCCCTGGCACCACCCCCACCTCCCTCGCCATCGGGCGACCAACCTCCTCCGCCACTGCTTCCGCGGCTGGGGGGGCGCCCGTGCTCTCGGGGTCGATGCCCACCCCCACGCCCTCCGTTGACCCCCGCAGGGCAAGCAAGCCTTCCTCGGAGAGCGCGAATCCCACCAGCACGTCCATGCCCTCCTTGATGTAGCCGAAGCTCGCACGGAACTTCGCCACTCGCTTGGCGGCGTGGTCGATGGAACCTGGGCCCTTGTTCGCGCGCGCTGCGCGCGTCACGGCGTCGTGCTCGGTGATGTTCTGCGTCGCCGCCACGCAGTGCGAGCACGTGCACAGCTTGCACGGCCCCCCTTTGCCCTTTCTCAGCTCGGGGCATTGCTGATTGCACTCTTTGGCCCCCGCACAGCGGCGCATCCCCCCTCAAC